ATATATATAATATATATATATATATATATATATATATATATATATATACACATACATACATACATACATCATACACACATACACATATATACATAATATATATTTCATAACTTATATTATAATAACCTTTCATTAATTACCTATAAACGTTATAACCCTCTGTAATGCTTACTACTTCATTAATGTACCAAATTTAGAAATACATATTGAAACATACAATAATACAAAAAACATCATAACAATAATAACATTAACTAGTATTTAATTTAATTGACTAAATTATTGTAAAAGTGCTAAATTAAAAAGTGCTAATTTATTAAATTAATATTTAATTAATTAGTAAATTAGGCTACTATTACTACGTTTTATATTATATCTAAGACAATATAATATAATAAATATATTAAATAATATAATATAATATAATATAATAACAACAGCAACAACAACAACAATGAAATACCTGTAAGCTGGTCGACACACTTTCTTCTCTTCATCAGTGCCACACGAGGGGTATCCTTCTCCATCATAGTTAAAACAGTTATAAGGATATTGCGAAGTGTCAAACATCATCAGGCGTCCAGGGCGGCAAGCCTTTCTGGTTTCTAGTAATGAGAAAGGCTCTAGCTGGCCAAGACAAATGAAGCAGCTCTCATGAGAAGTGTTTGTGAGTGTGTGTAGGGGAAGTGACCGGCTGCTGCTCAGATGCTCATATAATGGGCGTACATGACTGGAACTACTGTAAATGTCTGAACCCGGGGCGTGATCAACAAACTCTAGACACTCATTCACTCACTGATTCTGGGTGGTCCGGTCCTCGGGATTGGATGTTTTGTTTTGTCCCGTTTCTTTTTATAGTCTGATCCTCTTAACTATATTTGAATGACGAATGAAACATTCACAAACATGTATCTCGTGCCTTTAGTCTTTACTCTTTCAGGTTGTTTGTGTTGTGTTGAGTTGTGGCCCCTTGAATCACATATCTCTCGGCAACAACTCTTGACTTCTGTAGATGCAATCTATAATGCCGCATAATAGCCATAAATTGTGTTTCCGTGACTAAAAAGGGGATGCATGTTCAAAAGAACATTAAGTGGCATGTGAGGGACCGAGAAACACGAGCAAACAGCCCGCAGCGCGAGATGTCTGTGTGTGGCCTCAGATCGATCTCGCTTCCTTGTTTGGTTACAGACTTACAGAACTACCACATTTTGCTATTAGTTTGATTGCATCATATAATAATTGCTTGTTTGGACACATGCAGCTCGGACAGCTGGGACCTAACTCATTCATTTTTCTTTTTAAATGATACACTTCGTCAAAATTGCCCTTGATTTGATGTTTTAGCAGGTGAGGCTTGAACAAGGATTCACGTTCCGTTGTTTTGCGTTCGTTCGTTTAAAATGAAGTTTACAAACGCTCATGTGGCGTTTCCTGTCTGAGTGCACAGAGAGTGCGATCTGATAACGGCCCCTGCGGAGTCCCGCTCCGTTCCCATGACGCCGTTTCCTCTGCTGGACTGTCTGCGGCTGCTCTGATCGCTGCAGTCCCTGTCCCCCCAGACCAGACCAGACCACTCCACACAAGACCATTACTGCACCAGCAGAAAAACACTGTGCACCAGGGGCAGACATTAACCAGGGCTTCAGGCAAAACTGCCCAAGATAGTTAAAAGGGCAAAATGACCCTGTCTCCATTTGTATCGAATGTTATAGGTGTATAACATTTAGGCTAATATATTTCATTAGGAATAGCTTATGCCTAATAGACGCATTCCTCTGAAGTCACTGTAGTAATAAGTAATAAGCTTTTAACTTGTTTAAGCCTTTCTTTCTTTCTTTCTTTCTTTCATTATATTTTAAAAATACAAATTACATTAAAATACAGTAATGTAAATGTATTTATTATGTTATATCACAATACATTATTTAATGGTTCGTTTAATTAATATTGATTTTATAATAATATACCAAGTCATAACTGTTACGATTAAAGCCTTATTGATTTTATTAGTAGCCTGTTTAAAGAAAAGAATATTTCTTTAATATTCTGAAAATATTTCATCGTACTCCTCGTACATTGTAGTTTTTTTACAGCACTATTTAGATGCTCACCAGAACCAAAACGACATGTAACACTTTAATAACTCTGTCATAATTGACCTAAAAACATTATTAATGTTTGCATTGCTTTTGCACAACATTTTGAAAAAGTATACATTTTTAGAGCTGTCACACGATTAATCGCATCCAAAATAAAAGTTTTTGTTTACATGATATATGTGTGTGTACTGTGTATATTTATTATGTATATATAAATACACACACATACAGCATATATTTTGAAAATATGTACATGTATTTACATGTGTATATTTATATGCATATAATTTATATTATATATATAAACAACATATTTTTCTTAAATACATATCATGTAAACAAAAACTTTTATTTTGGAAGCGATTTATCGCGATTAATCATTTGAGAGCACAAATTATTTTCAATTATTGAAAATTATATCTAATTATTTCTGAGGTTCTATTTTAAATACAGTCTCATTTTAGCTTAATGTGTTAAATAAGGTAGGACAGTGGCCTTCTGGTACAGTGGGACAGCTTTTAATTATCATACCATTATGAGCTAATATATAAAGAACCATGTCATAAAACAATCCAGATATTTCCTAATCACTTTAATTGTAACCACTATAGCATAAAATGTTTCTACATGGCCTCTGGTCATTAGCTAGTCTAGATAATTGATCAATTGGAACTATTTAAACAAAAGTATACATTTGATCACTTTTAGAACAAGCAATTGCTCTAAATGTGATTTTGTAGCAATTAAATAAAAGCAAAGTATTTTCTGTAAATACTTTTTAATGATAATGATGTCTAATTTTTTATGAAAAAACAAAACGGTAAAAAAGCAGTGCATACACAACAAAATCCCCAATGTAAAATTAACTGCTGGTGTCCATATAATCAGTGTGGATTATACTAGATAAACACCAGCAGTGTTAAGATAATGTCTGTGATGTATTCAAAAGTATATCATTTTTTAAATTAAATTATTATACATAGAACATCTGTAGAAGACCATTTGCTTAATCTTTGTTTATTGCACCATAACCAAGGGGAAAAACTGAAACAAAAAGTCCCAATAAGAGACAAAATATGACAGCAACAGCAAAATATACTGTATTTCTTTGAAAATGTGAAAATACTAACTGTACATATAAAGAAAACAACAAAATGTATGGAACTGTGGTGTAGCCTTGGTATGATAAACCACATTTATTCTGCTGATTACTCTGTCATCTCCACAACCGAGTATTCAAGTATATCTCTAATTGCACAGGCACTGAATTCACATATTTACAGAACTTTTTCAGCAGTTAGTCGAAACGTGTTTGGTAGTACAACAGGAGATGTAGAGAGCTCAACATGAACACCAACATCCTTCCCACCCTCAACTAAAAAGACACTAAATGTTACAATGTACATGCTATACATACGCTGAAGCAAATAATATATACAAAATTATACTAAGAAAATCAGTAAATCAGCAAAACTAACATGACCTCTGTGCTTCTGCCAATGACTTTGGGCTACTAAAACCCAAGTGGTAATAACGCTTCAGTTAACTGTCATCTACTGTTTCTTTAAGAGCTGTGTAGTTTCTAAAACATTTCTTAAAAATCCCAATTGAATGTATTCATTCATTTTTATTTTACTGTAGTCAAAATTCTGCAATAGAATGCTAATTCAGAAACAGAGGACTAAAGATGTGTAACTTATACCATCATATAGATCTAAAAAAGCATCATTCACATACTCCTCTGAGCACAACAAAACAGTTTTTCTAAATTTTCGTTTAATAGCATGACAATTCTACAGTGATTCATAGATTTGACATTATTAATCAGTATCCTTGTGCAATTTAAGGGCTACATTTTTAGGTCACGTGGGTGGAAATGCAGCAGTCACACTCAACAATATTGATTACTGATATTCGAATGTCCAGTTTTTGATATTGCATTAAATATGACTGAAAAAAGATCTGATATGCTGGAAATGATGCGAGTTGTTACATCTTAAGGACATTTCTCTGAAATCCAGTAAACCATCCACTTTTTTCAAACATGTACTGCACATTGTTACTTATCTACTCACATAAGCACAAATACTGCAACTGGTTTAAAGGCAGGGTATGTAATTTTTCAAAAACACTTTAGAAAACTGATTTGGGCCGAATAGCAAAACAAACTTGTAGCCAATAAGCAATAAGGGGCGTGTCTACTCGTGACGTGGAGGAGAGAGCTTTCAGTGCATGGGACGGACATTAGCCGAGCCGAGCAACAGAAAGATAGAGATGGCGGATAAAAAACAAAAGAGGAAAACGTCTGCGGAACGATAAGGCAAGTAGGACCCGTGTAAATATCGGATCAGCTTTCCAGCACTGGAGAGAACTCAAGGAGCGGAGGCCTGCGATCGGATGCCGAGGTTGCTTTGTCAATGGGAGAGTAATGTTTTGGTGATTTCAAATATCAACATTGGCTACCAGAAATCGCTTACCCTGCCTTTAATGTACTAGATGAATCTATCTCTTTGATTTGTAACAGAATTTATGAATGGCATGTTTGGAATAATAAATATGGAACTCAATAAATAACCTCTGATCAGCTATAACAGGGGTGTCAAACTCAGTTCCTGGAGGGCCGGAGCACTGCAGAGTTTTGTTCAAACCCTGCTCCAACACACATACCATGTAGTTTTCAAATAAGCCTGAAGGACTTGATTAGTTGGATCAGGTGTGTTTAATTAGGGTTGAATCTAAACTCTGCAGGGCTCCGGCCCTCCAGGAATTGAGTTTGACATCCCTGAGCTATAACGTGACGGACGGGACACTTTTGGGAGAAAACTCACATTTCACTCAAAGCATTTTGTCCTAAATAAGGTCAAGAAAAATACATTGCTATATGAAAGCACAGTTCCTCTCATTCCTCCTTGGTATGGAGAGAGTATAAAGAATTTTATTTGAAGACATGAAAGTCCACGTTTATTCAGACAAAGGTGCACACGTCTCATACAGCGGTGAGAGAGCTTGTGAAGCTGTAGTTCCTCATAAGTTTGAACTGAAATGTTGCCTTCTTTAGCTGCAAAAACGTCAGCCAAACATTCACTGTAGCTGTTGGTCTGTCCTGCACATCCTTTGCTTATTTCTTAAAAAAAAAAAAGTGGCTATAACTTTAAAGTTCAAATAGTTTCCCAACGGGACAGCAAATACTGGTTTAAATGGAGTACTCATTTAGATCCTTTATAACAGTGGTTCTCAACTGGATTTGCTTTGCATCTCACATTGGACAATATGTGGCAACACAATACAGAACCAAAGGCTGTTTTTTTAATCAAGTAATAATGATAATAATAATAATTCTTATTATTATTGCTTAGGCCTAATCATATACCAAATTAAATAAACATAAACTGAATAGGATCTCTTTTTTTCACTATTGTTTATATACTCTTGTAATAAACTCTAATTATTATTATTAATAATCCATCAATA